CACACACACACACACACACACACACACACACACACGCGCGCGCGCGCGCGCGCGCGCGGTTAGTTATAACAATAATTGTTCTAAATAATATTATGATTCAAATTGTAGAGTATAATTATAACTTTAAGTACCAGTAGTCATATTGTATTTAAAATTTAACATTCAATAAAAGTAGAATATGTTCAACATGATGGTCCTCAATCTACATTTATTCTAGGATAATAAGACCTCGTACCTACTCCCACCCCGCGTCAGAGATCGCATATGGTCCAGTCCCGAGTTATAAGGATTAAGTTCCTTGACTCTAAAATCGGACCGACGATCGCACTGCTCATCGGAAACAGGTGTCATATCGTCCCTTCAGGACGTTGACCCATATTCCAGAGCAATAAAAGGTGCGTTCGACTCGCTCCATCCCTTTCCCGCGGATGCATGCGAGACATTGCGTCTGCTTTAACGTCCTTCCATGCTTCTCCCTTCTTTTCTTTCTCTAAACCTATTCACCCATATTATCGGAGCTTGGACGTAACATTGAGATTTTGAATATTCTAAAGAATTTCGAGAATAAGAATTAAAGAATTGGAAAGAGTAAGGGCACTAGGAGTCAGGCGCAGAAGACGTCGCGCAAATAATACACTTATAAAGAGTGAAATTCTTTATTCACTAAACACGCTTACATGTTTTGACTCAATTTTGAGTCTTCCTCAGAGCAAAGTGCAAACACACACTGACATATATAAAGTAAAAGTTATCCTGTCATGGTGAGCTCCCCTACATCGAGAATTTCAATGCCAGAATTAAATAAAAAGAAAGAAAAGGAAAATGAAAAAGAAGGGAAATATTAAAAATGTCGAATTAAGGAATCTAGAAACTAATTTATCAAAAAACTTTAATAATATAATTAATTATCCCGAAAATAGGGACGCTCACCACGATTACAAAGTACCATATCGCAAACATTATCATGAATAATTCAAGAACCGGTTCCTGATATATTGGCCAGTCGGTATTAGACACAGTGAGTCACTGTTTAGTTATTAGCTAGTACTAATGAAAATTGTAAAATGATAAAAAATCTCGTCAGAAGGACTTATTACTGTGTACGAACGACACTGACTGACAAGACGTGACAACAACTCGAGTTTTTATAGTTTATCTGTAATCGGGAAGTATTTCATATTTGTGATGCCTTTTTTGATAAACAGGGGAGATCTTCATACCTTTTTTTCTTGCGCGAAAGGAGTAGGATTGATTCGAAGTGTTGCTGGCTGTTGTCGAAACAGAGGGAAGAATTACTTAAGACAGTGCCCCTAGTTGATATTGATCATGTCAGGGATTGAGTGTTGGAGAGTAGTGCTAGTGTTAGATTATCGTTGTACCCTAACGTGCAGAATCCAAATGTTGAGACAGTTAGAGAAATACAGATAGATCCTCAGTCCTTTCTTCCACTGATTCCTTCTCCTTCATTTACCTCACAAAGGAATGGCTGGTTCGTGATCTGTCAACCATTTCCATATCTCCTAATATACAGAACATTTTGCAATTGGGAGAGAACTTTGCCTTACCTTTTAACAATAGATTAAATTTAACGGTCGATCTTATTAAGTGTATTGAAAGTAATAAATTGCCTATAGATGAGCGGATTTCGATCTCAAACCATTAACTTCCTGTGTTAAATAACTTAGCTTCTTGTTCCTTACATTGCACGGAAGTAGATAGGAATTTGTTACTGTTAGCGAAAGATACTAGGGTTTTTTTAAGGGATATGAACGATAGGGTGATTTTTACTCGCGCGGATAAGGGGAACGTGACGCATTAGATAGACAAATGTACATTTCCAAGGTAAATGAAATACTTCAAGATGTTAATACTTATG